AGTGGGCTATATATTATCCTTAATTTTAGTTTGAATTCTTAGTTATTGATATCGTTTTTGTGGGTTTTCAGACTGCGTATAACCAGAAGATGGCATTTTTAAGATGTTAAAAGTTTTTGTCCTCTGCTACAGGCATACCCCCCCCCCCCCCCCAGCGTTTGAACAACTGAAAAGAAAATTGCCAGAAGATAAACCTCAGCTACTAGACTTTTTGATTATTTGAAGGACACTTGGTTGGAATCAACAATATGGACAGTTGAATTCTGGTCAGTGTTTGCTAGAAGTGTTCGGGGTGTTTACCGTTTTATATATTAATTAGTCTTGTATACCAGGAAACTGACCAAATACCATGCCAATGAAAATTAGTTTAGGAGTGTAAGCAAACATATTTTAAATACTCTCGTCAGTTAAATAATGGTCCGAATGAGCCTTGTCATGGTCCGAATCAGCCAGAAATCTGGTCCCAATCAGCCAAGAATCTGGTCCAAATCAGTCACGAATCTGGGCAGTTTCTAATTTAGGTTCTCCATGTCTCCTCCTTTGTGATTGTCCTGTTAAACAATCCCTCCATTACTTCGCCGTCGCCGCACCTGGAATGCTGATGCCCTTCCTCTCGTGAACAGGTAATAATGTGCTAGGAATAAGGACGGTAGTGCAAGCCTTAAAGCGTATAAAGGGGTATAACTCCATTGGACATATGCAATCCATTAACTAATGCCGTATTTACCAAGTCCAATGAAGTTATTTAGAGCCAAATTTTAATGACGACGCATTACGCACACCTTAGCATAATGGCGCCGCAACTCCTTAAAGCGGCGAATAGTAAAACGATTGTAAAACATTATGAAATACCACGTATTATAACAGTAAAAAAACTACAGATCATGCTTTATAATAATCCTCACCTAATAAAACAATAGGTACTACTAACGAACAGTTTGAAATATAAAGTTGATATAAAGATCGCTCTAAAGGCTCCAGCGTCGAGATATTGCTGACCGAAGTCGATTGCTATCTGTCATCACGTCGGAACTAATTACAGCCTAACGACAATAACATTATAATTTAAAACAATAACAACTTATGCCGACTTGTCCGGTGCCTGTCAGAACTTCTGAAATTAAACAATAATTGTACTAATTTTGTACGAATAAATTATTATTATTATTTGGCTTCTTATTCAAATTAAAACGACAGGATTGAACGTGACTGATAAAGTGTGCCTCTATTCCTAGCATCTTTACTGTATTTTACTTTATTTTACCGACGTCTGTTCTCCCTACCTCTTGGAAGACCATTGGCTCATTTCCGTTCTTGTTTGTATTAAGGGTCACTAACCTTCTTACCAGGGCGTCCATAGATTCGCAGGGCCTGAATCTGCATCACCCATCATAATCCTGACTCAAAAGGCGCCCGTGCAGACCTCCGTACTGAACATGACGTTGGTCTTTCCCTGCATTATGTGGATATTCCTCAGCTTCAGTTCTTCATAAATTTCAGACCTGGAGGGTAAGTACGTGCACTTGGCAACAGCGTTCCACTCTTCCAACCACTGCTCTTTGGTTTGGGAACAGCCAACTCCATCGACCATGGCTAAAATCTCCATTCTTGCTGTCATGACTTCTTCTGAGTTCCTAGATGATGGTTGGATGCCTGATCCATAATCCTCGGATGGCAAAACATCCAGAAACCATTGTTCTCTGACATAAACTTCTATCTATCTAAACTGTTCAGCCTTCGTATGGGTCTTCAGGTCTACCATTCGCCCAAAGGACGTCTCACGATCACACAAGACACAGACTCATCATCCTGGAATGAAGAAGGTCTTGTTGAGAACCCCCATGGGGTGTAGGGGGTGATAAGAATAAACCCTTCGTATGTCCTGCGTGTCGTAAAAGGCGACTAAAAGGATCCCTGTAAAAGGGTGACGTGTTTGCAGTCCGTTGCGATCCGTGTCGGTGGAGAGTGGAATCCTGGTAATTGAGTGGGGACTTGGCTTGCAAGCACTTTCTCTGCAACACATTACCTAGACGGGAGGTCGGAGTGACCCACTCTGATCAATCGGCTTTGGTCGTTTTAGCTCTGTAGAATGTACCCTTTCCAATACAATGCTCTGTTATTTATTCACTCAGCAATTACCTACCTTTGTGTCCTGGGTCAATCAGTTTGGAGTAATATTTTTACTTTCTGGGTTGAGTATACCTCTCGTCGAGCCCTGAGGCCACGTGCTGGTTATCTGTGCTACCAGGGCAGTAATCTGGGGGACGACGAGGGTTAAATTTAACAAAAATTAATACTTTCTAGGATTACCAAAATGAAATGAAATGAGGTTTAACGTCCTACTGTTTTGCTCCGAACTGGGCTAATGAAGACGGGCATACGCCATACAGTGTGCTATGAGGGAAATTTTGCCCGGACAGCGGCACTACGGCCTACTCTTATATCGAATTCCAACTGTCAAGGGATCTTTTACGTGCACGCCAATGTGTACACGGGACCTCGGTTTTTCGTCCCATCCGAACGACTAGACAGCTTTCCTTGTCAGCCCCTCCGTCCTGCATCAATGACAAGGGAGAATCACGCCGTAAAATCTGGATGAACTTTCTCGGCCATTGCAGGGATCGAACACCCGACCTCCAGGCTAGCGAGCCAGCGTCTTGCCCACTTAGCCACCGTGATCCCCTCTAGAATTACCCAGTGCCACCCACCGCAATCAATAAACAGAAGAAACGTCCTAATTCAGAGGACGTTTCAAACTTATTTAATACAAATAAAAAAGTTCTTAAGGCTTGGCCGAGGTTTCTCTTGATTGGGAGTCTCTCTACCGACCTATCTAAAGTTTCGCCATTTTTGATAGCTAAAGGTATTGCCGGCTTGACCGGTGAACCCAAAGCTATCAAAAAAACTTAAGAGAGAGAGAGAAATGGGGTTTAACGTCCACTCGACACAAACTAGGTCATTTCGGGACTAACATATGGTTTAATTTTATTTACACAATTCGCTTGCGCGTAGGGGTCTTTAGCAGTGGGAGGAAACCGGAGGACCCGGAGAAAACCCACGAGGTTGGACAGGCGACCCTACTCCTTGCCACGTACAACCGGGGATTCGAAACCACGCCAGTCGTCTCAATGACAGACTTTATGATACAGCGCGCACACGCTAACCATTCAGCCATCCAACCCCCCAAAAAAAACAAAAAACAAAACAAAAAAAAAACAAAAAAAAAAAAAAAAACTTAAAAATGGAACACTTTTGATAGAATGTGCCAAGAAGCAGCATGCTACCATGCTACTCCAGTCAACGTCCTTGGCAGACATTGCTATCAAAATGTCACCACATAGGTCACTTAATTCAAGTAGAGGTGTAATTAGATGTCGAGATCTTGAAGGCAGCAGTGAGGATGAATTAATGGTAGAATACCTTTCATCTCAAGGCGTCTCACACGTAAAAAGAATTAGTGTACGCCGAGAAGACAAGGTGATTCCAACGAGCACCTTAATCCTTACTTTCAATCGTCCCGACATTCCAAGGCAAGTTATTTAAACATACCTGTTGAATCGTATATTTCAAATCCTCTTCGCTGCTACAAATGCTAAAGATTTGGTCACAGCAAAACCGCCTGCAGAGGTAAAGACACCAGCGCTCGATGTGGTCATGATGGCCACGAGAGCGCTACCTGCCAGGCGGAATTTTGTTGTGTCAACTGCAAGGGTAAGCACTTTGTTTATTCTCGCGAATGTCCTATTTGATAGTAAGAGAAACGAATTCAACAGATTATGTCTGAACGAAAAATATCACACTTTGATGCTAGGAAGCAAGTAGAGCTTACCACACTCTTTCCCGTTGCACCACAAGGGAGATCTTTTTCCGGCGTAGTTAAAGCATCTACGAAATCCGTATCTGTTCAGACAGACATAATCTGACCTGACCAAGTGTAAAAGCCTAAAAAATATTACATCATATCATAATAAAGGGGTCTCGAGCTCAAAGCACTGTTACCATTCCTGGTGAGGGTACATCACCCTTGCCTCCATCTGGAGTTATTGGGATTACTCCCAATAGTGCCAATAATCCCATTCAAAATTGCAAGGGGGCTCCTCCTATGCGGTGTGTTACGATCCTGTGAACACCTCTACCATACATTTATTGTTTTTGTTGTATAAATTATTATATTATTTATAAGTTGTTGACTGTTATGAAGTATTTTAATCAGAACGTGCCTTTCTTTGTTAACGAGATCACTGGTTTGTTTACCTTTACGAACTTGTTCTCCCCCGCGTCACAAATGGACTGCGCCATTTTTGTTCCACGCGTTTTTCTTCGCCGGCTGCAAGTAGCCGATAACCCCTCATAGCTCCGTAAAAATAGAGTGCCATGAACCAATGAATCGATGGGCTACAGTAGTAGACTCGAGTACTAATACCTGCGCACCAATAAATATATTTATGCCTTCAGTCCCACCGCATTGTCGATCGGAACATCAACGAACCGACAGTCTGTCAAATTGACTAGCGACGACTGTTGGTCACGTGATACAACGTTGGGGGTAATATGACGCGCTGTACCATTCTCCACACAAGTCTCGCTATCCAGCATTCGACTCTGCCGTCGGCTTGCGTACTACATAGGTTTGACCCGGAGGTCATCGATCACGTGATTTACCACATGATCAAAAATGGCGCCTGTCAACGAAATGTTCTGAGCGTTAATAGACACTTTATAATTTTAGTCAATTTTAGGGTAAAATGTCATAATTTACTACACCAAGGAAAAAACAGTCTAAATTTGCTTGTTTCGTGTGTTTAAACCCCACTGATTCTCACCGGATCGCGTTTAATGGAAAGAAATGTATTGATGTTCATTTTGAGGAAAAATTGTTTTTTATTTGCAAAACAGATGTCGTTAAACGTTTATTAAAATTTGAAGATGCCAATATTTGTAGAAATTGTTTTTCAAAAGTTTTAAATGCCTTTGATTTTATTAACAAAACCAATGAAAACATTGAACAATTTGTCAGTACGGGTGTGAAAAGGGCAGCATTTTCTCCCATAACTCCAAAATCATCATATAGCAATGCCAATAATAATAGGTCTACTGACAGCCTTTCGCTTCCCACTTCAAGATGAAGAAAGTTGAAAAAAAGATTACCTTTTAGTGATATAACTAATAATGAATTTTCTATAGAATCTGCATATGACCCCATTGAAAAAAAGTTATACAACTAGTACTAGTGAAGCTGAAGTAAATCATGATCAGTCATATACCAGCTTTCAGAAGTCGAACATTCAAACACAAAAAAGAATTATTTTAGAAAATAGTGATTTGGTAACTGATATATCAAACAGGGTTACAAGTTTATGTTCTGAGGGATCTTCTTTGACTGATCTTCGGGAGCAGAGCTTGACACTTACTTCAAGAACAGTAATGTTTTCTTCAGTATTACATAAATACAGGAAAGCTGATGATCTCCATGAAAATTCTGACCATTTGATTACAGCTATTGTGAAAGAAATGATGACCAGGTATGTCTTAAGTTAAAAAAAACCCGCTAAGTTTAGAAATTTCATTAGAAAACTTTGTGCCCAAATACAGTATACATTTGATCTGATTTTACCACAAACTCACATATGTTAGGGTGTTAATTGAATATTTGAACCTAAAACTCAAAGTACATATAATCAGTTCCTGTTTACTTGTAACTAGAAGAAATGGGTGGGTGGTCGAGTAGTCTAATGCATGCACTTTAGATCATAAGATTTGTCAATAAGTCAAGTGACACGGTTTCAATCCCAAGCTTGTACGTGACAAGGAGCCGGGTTGCCTATCCAACCTTAGCATTTTTCTCTGGGTTTTCTGGTTCCCCCCACTGCTAAAGACCCATATGCACAAGCAAATCATTGAATTGAATTTGAATATGTTAGTCCCACAATGACTTATGAAGAATAAATATAAATCATGTTTATGTTTATAGAGTGCCTTTGTTACTAGATTCTATGCTATGTGTGGCAGAACCAAACAACAATATTGTTCCAGCATCCATCATACCATCACTTGCAACATGTTACTCGATACTATTAAAGCTGCGATATAACAACTTATCAGTCTTCCACCGTATGGTGTCAGCTATAACATTAAAAGGCGGTCTGAATGATAGAGTAAGTGCCCAGCATTAATATTTTAGTTATATTTTGGTGTTTTGTTCATTTACATTTTTATTGGTTGAGTGCATCTTTGCTGATGATTAATTTTGAATTCTCAGCATCTAGCTTTTCAATTCTTAATATATATATTATTTGTTATACGGGACTAGCCCTGATGGAAATATCCAGAGTATAGTATTCCTATAAAAAATGTTTGTTTTTATCAATTCACTTAAAGTAGGCATTATATTACCATTTATAAATTATATAGCCATGGGACTTTTTCAAATTCCAAAATATTTTGTTATTCTTATGTGTTGGTTTTATTGTCTTTTTTTCTTGTTTTTTAGATATTGAGTTTCATTGGTTGCTGTTAATATTGTTTTGATTCAATTCAAAGTTTAGTTGAAGTTTGACGTCAATTTTTATTATGAATTAATACAATGACATTGCGATTCAATTTCATGGATGCAAAGCATTAATTGTGATATCACATAATGTCTATATCATTATCTTTTGCTTTGAGTGCCCATCCTGTCCCACATCTGACGATAAAGGATAAAGCACACGGCCTAGAAACTTTTCTCATAAAAAGTGTTGATTTACAAAAAAATGTATGTAGCTGAGGATGGGGGGGGGGGTTCGACCCCCCCCCCACTCTGGATCCGCCCCCGATAAGATTATGAGCAGAACAGTAGGACGTTAAACCCCATTTCATTTCATAAGATTACGAGATATACTGATCAATGATTTTTAGTTACCAGTACTGGTAATGTAATTATGTATACATAAATAACTATTGTGAAGGAAAAATGGAAAATTATCTATGATAAAGTGCTAAATGTTATTTGTTCCAATTACAGGGCCAGGCAAGGTTAAATTATCTGGGAATGACCTTATCATGTGAAAGACGTCTTCAGTTTCAAGAAAGTATTAGCCTGTCTTCGGAAAATTTAATAATTGACAAATTAAAGTTTAACCCTTTGATAAAAATTACAGGTAAGTGCAAGGAAATGTTTTTGAAAGACTGTAGCAAACACCAGAATAATTAAGTGCTTGCTGTTATCAGAGACATGTGTTTCATCGTCTAATACTTTACAAAAAAAAGTATATATTTGTGAATTAAGCTATTTTATTGACATAGTTTCATAATTTTTTTTACACAATTTCAACATATGAAGTGTTCACACAGTTTGTAATGTTTTAATCTAATATTTAATTATGTAATTTTCTTATATTTTAGGGGACAATTTGGATGTATATATAAAAGCGTCTCAACTTTTCACTGACAAAAGAAATAAAGACCTCCACATGTTCGTTTCTAATGTAATTTTTTCTCGAATTGCAAGTATGGATATGAGTATAGAGAGCCCAAATGTAGATGTTAATAGTATTCAAGCAGCTGATATTTATCAACAGGAACAACTTCTTGATGTATATGGTGTTTTAAAAGGACTGCAAGGGAAGACAACTCTGTTTGGGAGATTGGTGCTGTACGACTATTATATTAGACTGGACAACCTGCTCTAAATGACGTCAGGCTGGTTCCGGGCAGCCATCTTGCCAGGAGGAATTCCTCCCGGCAGTGCGCATCTCTTTCTGCGCACATTACCAATGTTTACAAACAAAAACATGATCGGACACTGAAGATGTCAACACCAATTAAATGCAGCGGTAGTTTATGTTTAGCGTGTGGATTGGATCCGAAACTATGCAATTTTTTCTCAATAATGGAATATAACGGAACAATAATTAATATTTTAGAATTTGAGAAATACGGCAATAAATCAAATGAAATATGAGTGATTTGCCATAGCCGGTAGGCCTGCGATTGTAACTGATTATAAGAGCTGATTTTAAACTGTCGCTTTGTTTGGGTTTAAGATAACAATAAGATGTCGCCCGATCAACGTTTAATTTGGCTAGAGCAATCTTAGAAATTAAAGAAAAGCTTAACAAATCTTCTTCTAGCTTACTCATTTTAACGCTGAACGCCATCATTAGGGATACCCGTCTATTTTTAGTAACACTACGTCAAAACATGGCTGCCCACTACCTGTCTCTATGAAAGTCAGAAAAGGAGTGACGTAGGAGCGAATTTGACGTATTAGAGCAGATTATCCAGTCTACTATGATATCAGTTGGCCTTCGCAATTCATTGTGTACGGACGTATTGTTGGTGTCCGGAAAATAGCCATGGCTCAATGCACCTTTACTGGTGAGAAATTAATTAGGTTGCTCAACCTTGACGTGTTGGGGAGACTAATTAAGCTTCTTGTGATTTATCATAATAATTTCGGTGTTTACCGACATTATTACCGTGCCTTTGACTGTGAGTTGACGTTTGGCTTTGACTCTATACATTTACACACCTATCTTGCCCTTTTTAGCCACGGTGTTTTGCAATATTAACATATAGAACATTGAAATATAATTGATTAACCAGCTTTGCCTGTAGAACCTTAAGTGGTATTACAACCAGTCATTGGTGCTTCAAAACCTGGTGTTTTGAACCGACTCTGGTGCGTGCCTGATGATCTGGGTGCCTGGAACCGAATCTGGTGTTTTGAACCTAATCCGGTGCACAAGATATAAACCTGATTACTAATGTTACATAAGATATTGCGATTATTATTAGCAGCAAGGTTTCTAGTGGAAATGCTGCAGGGAGTGTAATAATATTGCTAGAATTTTTGCTCTTGAAATTAATGGTGGCAGTATATTTCATTAATTAATATCTTTGGCAAGTTGGTAGATTCTCATATGTAGAATTGTACTAAATCAACTTAGTCTGTAATTGACATATTGTTATATAAAAAAGAGCTATTTAGCCGAAACAGGTGTCAATAATTTACCACCAGATAACACGTGAGTGGAATTATTCTAATTGCATCACTTGGCTTAAAGTAACCAATCGTATCGTTAATTGCACAGGTTCAGGGCCATGAACAGACTTCCTGTGCATGGTATACGTGAGTGCTATATAAGATATCTATAGTAAACTTTTAGGTTAGACTTCCATTAGATTCCAGAGAGGGTCCATCTGAGTTCTTAGACAGCCGCGAGGCTGGATAGGGTTGAGAAATGGTTTTAGCTAGTATTGTTATCTATTATGCTTGTATCCATATGTATTCGGCGATGCTATATAAAATGTAGAAGCCAACTGTTGCATTGTTATTCCTGGTAAGACAAGCGTCTTAAAAAAACCATTAAGAAGTAAAATACACAACGTGAAGCAGAAGTAAAGACAGCTAGAGACAAATTCTAGACGATCACAAGGCTACAGAAATATGTAGTAAGAAAAGATGCATGGGTCGTATGTAGGATGCGGCGACTGGTTTCCTCGCCCACTCTCCGCGTCAGACAAAAGACCTATGGTGCTATATATTCGATTTGGTGCACGTGACTACGAGATCGAGTAACCTGGAAGAAGATTAGAAGAAAAGAGAGTATGCGTCACACGTTGGATGTGGGGAGTTCTCCCGGCATATTTCCCACATCTAACCAGCGACTGCATAGTCTTACATATTCGATTCGGTGCCGTGCTGAAGTTTCGACCTTTGGGGTAAGAAGTCACTTTAGAAGACGAATGCATATTTGAAGACGTTAAGAGAAAACCTGTACAATCCAGCAACAGGAAAAGTCTGGTGAAAAAAAAATCTGGTGAAAATATTCGAAAAATTGGGTAAATACATTTTTTCTGGAAAATTAAATGTGTTAAAATTGTTTACAGACCAAATAATATTAATTGAAAGTTAAAATCTGATTAGGAACTAAATATTTGAAATTTAACTGTTAGAGAATAAAATATAATCATTCATAAGTTGAGATTGATAGGTTTATTAAACAATATTATAATATCACTGGTTAGGTGTGTATATTATCGGGTTAACATGACCTGTAGTAAAATTAAAGTTAAGGAGAAAGTTTAGGGAGTAGGTTTTTAAAAAAAAATGTTTTGATATAACTGAGGAATAATAATAAGGAAACGGAATAGGGAATAAAGTAAGGAACTAATGTTGTCTCCGGATCGCAGTGGGAAGACGGCAGATCTAAGGATGACGTTTCTGACTGATTAACTCTAGTTTCCAAGATGGCCGTACTTTCTACTGTGATTCGTTAATTTGTGGGGTTTTTTTGTTGTTTCGTATACTATATAAGTTTGAGGCCCTTAGTCCAGGCCTTAGAGTTGTTGTAATTTAACTTTTGATTAAAAAGTTAGGTTATTTTGAAAATCCCATATGGTTCATCAAGGGATGTTGGTAATAGTTTTTCTGGGGAGAAAAAACTAAAATTATTGGCTCGTTAAATTGTGAGATTATCGCAAAGTCATTAATACGAGTTTAATACGAGGTTAGAGCAAGAAAACGACACTTTTTAGAAAAGTGGAGGTATACGGTAAATTGTATCCGTATATGATTTTATGTATTTAAAATTTTTGCTTTAGAAACGTAATATTAACGTATAATATATACTGCTAATTGCTTCAAGCTGTCGACACGAGATGGTTAGGAATGTGTAATTTGACATTAGGTCGAATTATAATAAACAATAGGTTCTAACACTGTGTTAAATTTGACGTGTGTAAAAGTCACGGAATGTGTTAATATATAGGATATAGTTAACTGTATGTGTAATTAAAAGTTAGGTATGTTCTAACTGTCATGTTTATAAAATGTAGAATGGTGTTTGGGGGGAATGGGTGCGCAACCATTTCCTTCAACAAAGTTCTATTCTATGTAATGTTTATATAAATATAGACTGTGTTCTGATTGAATGGAGTGTACAGCCATTTTCTCTCAACATAGTTATAGATAAATTAAATAAAATGGGGTTTAGCGTCATACTGTAGGATAAAATGGAATGTCATTCATATACTGGCCATATTTGATTGACATTCTCGATAATGTTATGTCACACTAGTGTTGGAATAGGTCAAGACCCTGCTTTTTTTAGACATTCAGTGGTGTACGATGACATTATATTTGTTTGGTTGACATGTACAAAAGGGAAATAGCAGTCAAAACGAAATACAAAATTGTAAATGATTAGGTTAAAAAGGTCACATTACTGACTGAGAAATATAAAATAAAAATGGCGGAATTCTAAAACTCAAACGGAAATTCTAAAACAGAAAACGCACTTATAAAATTACTGATCGAGTTCAGGTCAAGAGGTTAAAGTAAGTTTGAAGATTTATAATTAAAGAGACACATCAAAGTTTATTTAATCTATATATATATTTGTGACTGTCGTTTGTCTGTCTGTCTGTCTGTCTGTTCGGGGTTGGCGGCTACACTGGTTCTGCCCCGAGTTTGAAATTTGGGGTATAGGGGTAGCTCGGACCGGGGAGTAACACAGGCCAGGTGGCGTTATTCTACCACTTCCGGTTTCGGAGTTATGACCCCCGAGCGAAGTCGGTCTGTTCGGGGTTGGCGGCTACACTAGGTCTGCCCCGAGTCTGAAATTTGGGGTATAGGGGTAGCTCGGACCGGGGAGTAACATAGGTCAGGTGGCGTTAGTCTACCACTTCCGGTTTCGGCGTTATCCCCGAGTGAAGCCGGTCTGTTCGGGGTTGGCGGCTACACTAGGTCTGCCCCGAGTCTGAAATTTGGGGTATAGGGGTAGCTCGGACGGGGAGTAACATAGGCCAGGTGGCGTTAGTCTACCACTTCCGGTTTCGGAGTTATGACCCCCCCGAGCGAAGCCGGGTATCCTGCTAGTAATTAAATAAAGTTTAATTTTAATTAAGAGTACGATTTGCTAATAAGGTTTCGGAATAATATATTAATAATAATATTAGACTAATATCAAAATAAAGTTTTAAAAAAATAGGAATAGTTAGTTCTTGGTCTGATGGCAATGACATGTTTGATTGACGGATAAAATTGTACAAACTAATCATACTTAGAAGAAAAAAAGAAAGTTTCAACTTAATACTATGGTAGTTGAAACAGACCAATACAAATCCAAGAAGAAGAAATGGTTTACCAGTTCACCAAATTGAGATTTCCTGAGACAGAATTTAAAGTGAAACCTGAACTTTATAAATATTACGTGATGTGTTATAGTGTTTTGAAATTAGGACACTTAAAGATTTAAAAAAGACAATTTGTGTTTTCTGTGTTTAGGCTTAGTGAATTTTCATAGGATTTTACAGTGATGAACTTTTTGGAGAACTTTTGCATGCAACTTTTGACTTTTGATTTTTGATTATTTGTGGGGTTTTTTCATAGCTTTGTTTTATGGTATAGTAATCATTTATATTTGCCTGATGCATGAATAATTATAGGGTTTAGTACATGGCAGTTTTTAAGATTCTCCTACCTCTTCATTTTGCATAAATCTTAGAAGACGGGGAGGTGATAATTATATTTGTCGATTTTCGAGATTTCTGCTACATTTATGAATACTTATATAACTCTACCTAATACCGAGCAAAAAGTCTTTAACAGATTGACGAATGTAATAATATTGCTAGAATTTTTGCTCTTGAAATTAATGGTGGCAGTATAATTTCATTAATTAATATCTTTGGCAAGTTGGTAGATTCCCACATATGTAGAATTGTACTAAATCAACTTAGTCTGTAATTGACATATTGTTATATAAAAAAGAGCTATTTAGCCGAAACAGGTGTCAATAATTTACCACCAGATAACACGTGAGTGGAATTATTCTAATTGCATCACTTGGCTTAAAGTAACCAATCATATCGTTAATTGCACAGGTTCAGGGCCATGAACAGGCTTCCTGTGCATGGTATACGTGAGTGCTATATAAGATATCTATAGTAAACTTTTAAGTTAGACTTCCATTAGATTCCAGAGAGGCTCCATCTGAGTTCCTAGACAGTCGCGAGGCTGGCTAGGGTTAAGAAATGGTTTTAGCTAGTATTGTTATCTATTAGTAAATACACAACGTGAAGCAGAAGTAAAGACAGCTAGAGACAAATTCTAGACGATCACAAGGCTACAGAAATATGTAGTAAGAAAAGATGCATGGGTCGTACGTAGGATGTGGCGACCGGTTTTCCGACATATACGCCCGCTCTCCATGTCAGACAGAAAGACCTATGGTGCTACAGGAGTTGGGGGCGTAAATAAGGTGGTCTGGAACCGAATTTGGGCACTAAAGGGGGATAACTCCTCTTGGGCTTGATATTTTTATTTACAGCAAAACCTTACCAATCCAGAAGTTCCTGAATCGTGTACACCAAGTATCCTGATATATTCACAACTTTAAAAACTAAGTACCGGTACTAATAACTATTCTTAACGTGGAACTAATAAAACTTTTAACTTCAATGTACATTTTTAAATATTAAATATTAATTATTAAATATTGTATTAATTATTTTATATATTTATGTAATAAAGTTTGTGTTGTTCTTAATTGAAGTACTCTTTTATCTGTTCGTGTCTGGGTTATTGCAGGGGGTCTTCACGTACAGCTACAGAACGCCCGCAAATACGTTGGTTGCCAGCCGGAGGGTTGGTCGCGCAACAGCTCCTCTAAAGGTGACACTGCTGATCCCAATTCAACTGGATCAGTGCTACAGTTTAAGAGTACTCCATCTGCAAAGGAGAAAATAGTGCATTCCAATAGTAAGTGCAGGGGGACTGCACCACACAAAATTTACACAAAAACAAATACACGGCGGAACATCATACTCAGGAAAACACAAACATACAGACAATTAAAAAAAAGTGAATGGATCCGGGGGCTAGCCGTAAGCGTCCACTGCGCCGACAGTCCCGGGTCTGTAGTGACACAGACTTCACTCAAATTTGAAAACAATTAGGAATACAACCCAAAGAACCCATTGTGCAATGCCAGCATGAGTCATGTTCTGCTAGATGCTACACGAAATACGAATGTAAGCATATGTAGTAAAATTCAACTATACAAGCAATCACATCGGTAAAAATGTGTAAAAAAAAAGTAGTCTAAACTCTAAATTCAATCAAGAAATGCTTCAGTATTCAATACATATAGGGTACATTTTCCATCCGTCACAAAAACAAAAACAAAACTGAATACAAAGAAGCAAATAGGAAATGTAGACTGTCTCGAGGGACAGCCGTCTGCTGACTGAGTTATATCTTACAAGGTGATAAAAAATCACAATAATA